ATCTTTTCCTAATAAACGAATCGCTTCGACCTCTCCAGATTTTACTCTCCAAATACTTCCAAACGACCCCCACACCGAATCAATACGCGTCTCCTCCCTAATCCCAAATTACAACGATCCAAATCGTCTGAATCTGCAGTTAAATCTCTCCCAAACATGATACAGGCTGCAGCATCGGTAATGGGAACCGCGAGCGTGAACCTAACGAGCTTCCACGATCGATTTGCAGGAAGTGCAAATGATATTTCGCAGCTGCAACCGAACGCCTCCAGACTCGACGAAAATTTCGGGAACCGGACTGTGCGAGCAAACAATCGTGTATACCAGGTACGATCAGCCTGATCACACAATGCGTGTGTCGACACGAGAAATTTACATTTTCTGAAACGAGGCGAAGGCGAGTTTCCCTATTGATATTATACGTAAGTGTGTGTGTGTGTATGTGTATATATATATATCGGCTTCCAGGAGCGCGTCAGGTGCGTACTTAGGGTGCGACGATTGGGCGACAAGACTGCGTTAATGGAAGTTTCGTGTCGCAGCTGGTTAATCCGTCGGTTGTCGCTTCGATTTTTAAGGTGACGCGAGAGAGGGCCGATAAACGCACCCTTCACTCCGGCAGGGATTCCTTTCCACGCAATGCCACTCGATTTACAAACACTTTTCCCTCGTTTTTTCTTCTATCTCTCTCTCTCTCTCTCTTTTTCTCCCTCCTTTTCCGCCGTTCATTAGTTTCTAGGAAAGGAGAGGCTCGTCGAATAATCGCCATTGAATTTGCTATTGAAACTCTCGTTCAAAATAATGGTTACGCTCATCTATGTGAGGGTATTTGCGCGAACAAATTAATCTCGTATTTCTTTCCCGGAGGTTCCCGATAAAACGTTAATGAACATTCATTGTTCGTTTACAACGACTGGCACAGATAACGGCCCGACTGTGATACCGCCACGTATTATTCGTAATTTATGCGTCTCTGCTTTCTGGGACACGCGTAATATTCGGTGAGCAATGCTCGCTCGTGGATCGACGAGGTTTTCTTTCTTGATACGACGGGATTCATCGAGCTTCAACGTATACCGTACCGGATCGATTTTCGCCGTGGAAAGTATTCGCGAAATTAACGAATTAACTGGAACCGATTCAAATTCACTTCAAAACTGTTTGCACGTTTCATCCGTGTGACCGTCTACCGAAAATGAAGAGATACGTTTGTTTCTAACGCCTCGGCGCCAGATCGTAAATCATTCGCCGATTCAAGCTTCATCTGCATATGTATAACCTGCGCAACTGGTTTATCGCCGCTCGTTGTCCCGAGTGTCGCCGATAAGGATCGCTCTCGTGGCAACCTTCCAATCGACAACGAAAACGACACGAGTTACACAGGTGATAAAGTACAGAACCCGTAGATGCGATCTCGAGATCGATCAACGTACATACGTGACGAATCGATGCAACCGTGAAGATAATGACTGACAAGGCCACAGTTGTAACAGCGAAGGACTAACGGAGAAATGCGGGATGCCGGCATGAAACGCTACATTTTTCGTAAGGCCGTCCAGTGAGATCATTGACAGCCGTCTCTCGCGGCGGAGAGTCATTTTTATTTCGTTCGAGGACTATACGCTCTATATTGTATCTGTGGCAAGCGTAGAACTTCTCGCTTGCTGATTTTTATTACCTATTGACGTTCGTTCTCGTCGATGGGAAAATTTGACAATATTCATTTCAAATTAACGCGTAATTAATTTTAATATTAATTTTAAGACACACAGTGTGATTTACTTACCCGCAGCTGCATCACTATTTGGTTGTACGCCCAGTGCCACCGTTGCCTCGCCGTCATCTCTGGTCGTTCTTTCAGCTGTGTTGGTACCGGAGCAGCTCCGACCATCTCGAGAAGCTCCTTGTCTGGCGGTGGTTCCGGTGGACTCCTCGGTGGAGTATCCATTTGAACACTTTCTTCCAAGGACGCTTGTTTCGTTATGCTTCCTGCAAAACAAGAAGACGAACGACATTAACCTTATTCACGCAGTGTGAGCCAGTGATATACAGAATAGACTATATCTAATCTTACCGCGTGGACTATCGGTGTGCGACATCGGCGGTGTGGTTTTGTACGTGTCCACCAACGAGTCCTCTCGAGAGTCACGAAGCATCGCTTCATCGCCTCGCTCGTACCTTCGTGGACAATCGTGTTAATTGAATAAGCATGTCGACACGTTCAAATAATTACAAATTACAGGCTAGTTGAACCTAGACGTTACCTTTCGAGAGACTCGTCCCTCATCTTATAGTCGTCGTTCACCGCGTTGCTCAGGCTGACCTCCGGTTCCTCTATAGATTCTTGGTCCTTGAAGTATCCACGCTGATAGCTCTCGGCTCTGGAAATCGGCTGAGGGGCACCAAAGTTCTGCCCGTAGCTGCCTCTCTTTTGGTACGAGTCTGTTCTAGTGAGCGGCGGTTTGAACGTTTCTTGCGTGGCCGAGGAGAAGGAATCTTTCCTCACGGATTGCGCGTACGAGCCTCTCCTGCTGTACGATTCCTCGGGGAAGTGGTCGGAGGCGTACGAGTCCCCTCTGGTCAGCTTTGGTTTCTGAGAGTGCTGGCTGTGCTGGGAGGAATGTTGACTGAGCTGACTCTGATGCGACAGCTGCGAGTCTTTCCTCTGCGGTTCCGTCGGTATGATCTCCGGATATTCCTCGTCCTCCATCACGTCCTCCTGATACGATTCGGTTCTCGTTAATCGTTTCCCATTGGCCGCCGTGTGAACCATCGCCGTCACCGTCATACTGGCTGGAAGATGGTTGGCCGTTACGTGATTGACCATCGTTGTCGCTGGCTGCGCAGTAGTCTGCGAAGACTCGATCAAAGCAGGGGCAACGACACCCGAGTCAGCAACCGATGGATACTCGTTGATACTTCCTTTCTTCTGCGGGATGCTACTGATCGAACTCACGGCAGTTTCGATGGACTCCTTTAATTCGTCGTCCTTGGACTCTAAAGAATCCGTGTGCTGTTGCACGAGAGGGCTAGGTTCACGTTTCTCGAGCTTCTTCCTTCTCGATGCACCGGTCGACGACACGTCCTGACTTTCCTGAGAGGTGAAGTAATAGTCTGACTCGCTCGACTGGTACCCGTTCGCTCTTGTCTGACCTCTCGGCGTGGTCAGATGGACCGACAATTCCGGGACTTCGCTCGTTCTTCTCTCTGTGCTGGCAACCGGACTCTCTTTGTAACGTTCCTCGAACGATCCCTGATAAGAGTCGGGATAAGACTCCTCGTATTGATCGTATGGCTCCTGGTATTGATCCTGATAGTCGTTCTTGTACGCCGCGTTGACAGTGTCCTCTTTGCTGTACGGCGTTTGATAATCAACATATTCTTTCTGCGGCTTGCTATAAGTGTCCTCGTAATTACTTTGCGACGTAATGGGTGCCTGATTGTAAGTATCCTGGCTGTACGTGCTATCCTGATTATACGTACTCTGATTGTACGTGTCCTGGTTGTAAATATCTTGACCGTACGTTTCCTGATTATACGTATCCTGAATGTATGAGTCCTGGTTATACGTGTCCTGATTGTAAGTATCCTGACTGTAGGCTTCCGTGTTATATGTTTCCTGATTGTACGTTTCCGGATAAGTCTTCTGATAGCCCGTCGACGTGTTTATATTGTACTGGGAATCGTATTGCTCTTGCTGTTGTTGTTGTTGTTGTTGTTGTTGTTGTGGTTGTTGTTGCTGCTGTTGGTATTGATTGTACGTATTTGTCACGTTATTTTGGTCGTATACGCTCGATGGCACAGAGACGTTGTAACCATCGTATTGCTCTTGATACGTGTCCTCCTTGTAGGCAGGCATCGTCTTCCTATCCTGATATTGTACGTTATTCTGGTCGTAACCCATCACCTGATAATTATCGTCTATTATCATATCTCGGCTGGTTTTCCTGTATTGATCGTTCGGTTGGCTAGTGTATTGATCATTCGGCTGGCTCGCGTTCGGATATGTCACGTCTTGATACGTATCCTGATAAACCTGAGCGTTCTGCTGCACGTAAGGCTTCTGATACTCGTCCTTATACGAGTTTTGTAAATACGATTGATCGTACGTATCCTGTGTCTGTGACTCCTGATACGAACGAGTGTACTGGTCGTCGACCTGGGGCGTGTAACTGGACCCGTATTGACTATCCTCAGCGTATTGAGTTTTGCCAGGCGCGTGCATTTGGTCGTAACCGCTCTGCTCGCTATATATACTGTCAATGTAGGTATCCTGAGGTAAATTATCTTGGCTGCGATAAGCGTAATTATAGTCCTCGTTGTAGTCAGACTTGTAGTAGCTCTCCTCGGAAGGAGTTCTAGTCTTTGGCAGTTGCCTGCTCGGTGTGGCAGGTAGGGAGGCAAGCTTACGATTGATAATAACATTGCTTGGTTTTGTTGGTGTCGGAGGTAGTTTTTTTCCCGTCCCCTCTGTTCGAGACGACGGTCGTTGTTGTGGTTGAAGCGGTTTTCGACGACGAGTGCTGTGACCACTGCAAACACACAGCGATAAATTAATATCGTACATTTAATATTACACGCCTCGATGAAGTAGTAATCGAAAGGGAAGGAGATTGATCGATACCTGTAATTGAGTTCCTCCGATTCGTAGCTGCGTTGTCGGGTAACTGTCGGTCTATAATCGGGTCGATGAATACCGATACTAGATGCAGGCCTCTGTGGAAGCGTTTTTCTATTGCGTTTGTTCTCGTAATAGGTACTAGTCCCCAGGTACCACTTCCCTCCGCTGTCCCATTGTCTGTCCTCGTCGTCTTGGCCATACCTGACAAATTCAACGTTAACGCGTGAAAAACTACATTAAATTAATGTTCAAACACCTCAAACACGACGAACATTATCGTTCTCTCAAATCTGTTTCACTTCGCTAGTTCCAGTATACACATTCAGACGTAGATTGAAATGCAAAGCCGAAATATAGCGCTCGCTGCACTAACCTTTCATCTTGATAACCATATCCCGTGGTGCTATCGTAATACTCATTGTACCTAATGTCCGTTTGGCATTCAGGATACGTGGCGCTCATTTTCCCCACTCTCCCGTCGCTGCTATATCCGTCAGTGTAGTAAGAATGATCATCGTATAAAGTCATCTGTCTTTCCAAAGACGGTCTTCTGTAAGGGCCTGTTTCACGTGCAGAGATAAACAGGGTTACGATCTATTTTATTGTCGTTGAAGAAACGCGCAGACGCCATACATCAAAAGCTCGCACAAGTAATACACACCACGTAATAACCATTGTTGGCCGAAAACCAGCGGAACGTCTTACCTCGTCGTCTCGAAGTGCTCGTCGTGGTACTCGGATAGTACTCTGTGTCGCTGTAGATCCTCGTTTCGTCGACTCTCGTGCCGTGGTAGTCGTAACCCTCGCTGTACCAACCATCTTGGCTGAAATCACGGGGACATGAGACACAGTCGTAATAATCGGACACGGGGGGAGGAGATAAAAGCGGAGATGAAATGATCCGCGTCAAATGACAATGACTGGAAAGCATGATGCGCTCGGTTAAAAGACGTATCCAGCAATCCTCACTCTTGTACAGTTCGCAGCGTCACTAACTGCACCATGCAACTACCTGTGGATGCTCAGTGCACTCTTAGATATCGAACTATCGTGTCTTGATCTATATGATCCTCCTTTCGTTCCTTTCGATCTTACCCTGTAAAGGATTCAAACTCTACGCTACCTCGAATCCTTTCGCAGTTTAGCGAAACTAATTTCAACCACTAATAAACTATGATACTTCAATAATTTACGAGATATTTCACAGAAACTTTTTTAAAGTAGTTTTCCAACCCCTCCGACGATTGCCGATGAAAAAGAATACGGTTCAAATATTTTGTTGAAAACCACATTTATGCCAAGTTTGATCGAAATCGATGATTAATGTTTCACTATGTTCACTTGTAAGTATTTCCGTCCAAAAGTCCAAGCTGCTATCAAGATTATGCCGCAGGATATTTCGCGTTCGTAAGTGCGAAAGGATCGATACGCAAATTAGTCTTCTACGTCGTAGTTTGAACGACTCGCGATCGAATCGACGAATGGAAAAAATTACGAAGTGCTCGGATACGAATGAGCGTGTGAATGATAATTCGAGAAAAATTGCGACCAATTAAGCGACTGTGACAAATGTCGTGTGACGAACTATAATGCGTCTGATTCCGTGTGCTACGCTTCTGTGAATGCTACCGTTCGCTCTATGACGGTGCTCTAAGGCACAGGGTTGAACTAACAGGGTGAACACGCTCTAATGAGAGAAAACAGCTAGATGGAAACGTGTGATCTACGGCTCAAAGATGCGAGTTATGCGATGAAAATCGTAGATAATTTCTCACGAGACAGAGCTGGTTTACTCGTTTCGTACCTGTCCTCGTAATCCCACGTGTGCTTCCGTCGTCTAAATCAGGCAGAAGAAAACAGTGAGCGTATTTTTTTGTTTCTCTTTCTCTTTTCTCTTGGAGTCACGCGATTCACGCGATCAGGGTCGCGCAAATTCCCGAGTTCGACCCTACAGATTCGTCGAACGACACGACGAATACGTAGAGGCTACTTTGCAAAAATTGAAGGCTGCACGACCCTGTTATCTACCATCTTTTCGTATTCGATCGTAATAAATCAAGTTTAATTTCTATCTTGATGCAGCAGCGGCGAAAGAGGAAAGAAGAAGGGCAAGAAAACTGCCACACCACATATTGTATCAATAGTAATCGGTCATTCGTAATCGTTTCGAAAGAAGAAGTCTCGCTGTTGGATTTCTCGTTTCCGGCATTACGCGTGTATTACTTTATCTATCGACTATCGTGTGCGCATCGTGTGTCGGTGTTTATAAGACTCGGTATAAATACCTGTACTCCTTATAGTGTCTTGGTCTACTATTGTAGAAGAGTGGCTCGGAAGATTCTGAAGCGTGCTGAGACTGAGAATACCTTTGCGGTGGACCCTCTTCGGGATACGGCTCGTCATATCGTGGACTGTGGCCCGATCCACCGTAGCCACCGTAATTACTCGGAGCTAGCCTCCCACCGACTGTAGCTGGAATCTGACGGCATCAACAATCAATAAAATACCGAAGCTTTCTTCGTGAAACTATATAGACGAGATTTAACCTCTCGGCGAAATTTAAAATGTCACTTCCTGCCGTGTTTAAAGAAATTTATCTTACGTGCTGTGTTCGCCTGATTCCAAAAATACGACAGATTTGCGATTATTTTGTAAGACGAACGTACCCGTATGTCAAGAATATCTATGAATGATTAATTAGAATTTCTTCTCGAAAATTATAAGTGAGCTTATTTTTCTACATTTATTTAAATTTTAAATTTGCTACTCTGTACTTTTAAAAGTTTAAAATATTTATTCAGTATACTTTCTACTGCATTTAAGAAATTTATCTTACGTGCTTGATTCAAAAAATACAAGTCTGCGATTACTTTATAAGACGAATGTACTCGTATATCAAGAATATCTATGAATGATTATTAGAATTTCTTCTCGAAAATTATAAATAAATATATGATATTTTTCTACATTTATTTAAATTTTAAACTTACTATTCTGTATTTTTATTTGATATGCTCTGTTAGTTTAAAATATTTATCCAGTATACTCTTACTTTCTACTGCATTTAAGAAATTTATCTCTATCTGCTATACATTTGCCTAATTCAAAAAATACAGGTCTAAGGTTGCTTAATAAGACGAATGTACATATATCAAGAATATCTATGAGTGATTAGAATTTCTCTCCGAAAATTATAAATAAATATATGATATTCCTACATTTATTTAAATTTTAAATTTGCTGTTCTGTACTTTATTTATATGATATTTCCCTACATTTATTTAAATTTTAAATTTGCTGTTCTGTGAACTTTTATTTGATATGCCCTGTTAGTTTAAAATATTCATTCAATACACTTTTACTTTCTACTGCATTTAAAAAATTTATTCATACACGAGTGTCTATGATTATTAGAATTTCTTCTTGGAAATTATCCAGGTCGTGTGATGTATTTCCACATTTATTATTTACGTTCTCATTAAATTTTAAATCTGCTGTTTCCACATTTTTACGTCCTATTGTTTTAAAATATTCATCCAATACATTCTGTAATTTTACTCAAATTAGTATAATTTGATAAATCCTCACTTTTCACATCTTCGCGGTAGTGTCTGAGATATTCGATAATTCCAGCGTACTTTCGCAAAGTTCTTGGCACTTTTTCAAAATAAGATCGGTAGTCGTTCGACAGTTCGGCCCGCGACCGAAAGTCCAAATCTCCGTGTAATTTCCAAAGTTTCCAATTAACGTCATTTAAAATATCGATTAAGGTAACGATGGTATCGATCAAGGAGTACCTGATGATCGTCCCTCTCGTAGCTATTTTCTCTCGAGGTCTCGAGGGATCTCTGAGGGGTGGCCAATTGGTTGGCAGCGGTACGAAACTGCGAAGCCGAGCTGTTTGCACCCTGTCCGCCTACTGGATAATTCAGGTCCGACGTATAGTCCGAATCCTCCGAGTAACCCGCTGAAAGGCAATTCAAGTTTAATGTTACCGCGGCATAGTGCAAATCTTTCGTTTCGAACAATCGTCATCAGGCTTGTGTCGTTCGAAACGAAAAGCCGAAAAAAAAAAAGAAAAAATAAACAACTTCAAATGCAGAGAGAAACAAGTTCGCTAGTAAGTTCGTGCGATTTAACAACCACTTTCATTTTTTTTCCTTTTCTTTTTTTTTTCTTTGTTCTCTTTTTTCTCTTTTCTCGTTTTCATTTCTCTCACAAACCGACTGTAAACACGCGCTCGAGAAGCTAAAAAGATTGCCATTGTTGAGACCAAATCAAAACGTACAACGAGACACTGGCGTGTGTGTGAGAGAGAGAGAGAACGTGTGCAACAACGCAGAGACAAATTTGCTGGAGAATATATCGTAAGATCCTTGTGATCGTGAAAATCCTCCGTGGGAAGCAAGCATCGTTGGAACGAACCACGATGAGTTTGCCTTCTGTTGACTGTCCCCAGGGCAGAGGAGATATTAAACGACGATTACCGGAAATACCGGCGCTCGAGAAAGGAAGGAAAAAAAGAAAAGATAATCGCGAACGATATATTTGTGCGCCTTGGTTCGCGACGCGAGGATCCCGGCGGCCGCGTTCCGATCGCGTCAACTGCGAACGTTCAGTCAGAAATTGGTCGATATATTGGACGAATCCGCAGAAATTGAAACGGTGCAACAGCGGGAAACAGAAACGGTTGAATGTTCATGCGATCTGATCGTTGACAACGAGGCGTCACGACGTGTTTCAGGGAAAGAGTATCAGAATTTTTCGTCCGAGGGGAACATCGGTGGTCCACAGAACGAGGAGAATCAAAACGATTGCAAAGTGAAGGATAAGAAAAGTAACGAAACAGGCGGATCGACGGAAATTTCACTACTTGAGCATATACATATACATATATATATAGAAAAATGAAAACGAAGGTACATCGTAGAAAAGATAAAGTCGTACCATGCCAGGGTTGTAGCGATCATTGATGCAACGAGAGATCTTTTTGTTATTTCGAACGGGGGGGGGGGGGGGGGAGTTGAATTTTATAGGGACAAGTTACCGACGATTCTCGATCGATGGTCGATAACCAACAACAATGGTGAATGGCGTTTCGTACCGTGCTCGCTGTGATTGAAAATATCCACGTGCATACACCGTGGATAACGCAATTGCAATTGCATAAAGTATTCTCGTGGCCGGTGATCGCAAATAAAACGAGGGGAGAGCCAAGCGTCGCGGTGCGATCGATTTTTATGTGAAAAGCTGGCGGCGCAAACAGTGCCAATCGAGACTAGCGTTCGAGCGGAACTTTTGCCTGGAAACGATCAACCAAAATGTTTCGGCTCGGAATGAGATAGAAATCGGCACAATTCGTCGCATGATACGTTCGTTGCTCGCAATTAAGATCAACGCAAAACGCAAACGCGCGAGACGCGTAATTCACCGACGTTTCGACGATATTATCCCGAGAAAAGGCAAACAGTCAGTTGTTGATCTAAACGAAAATTGACGCAGCACGTTGGACTTAGGTAGACAGGAGTTAATAAGATAACGATAATTACAAAGTTCCCTCGAGTTTTAAGTGCAACTTCACGGGATCTCTAACGTTGTTTAACCCCTTGCGCTGGCAACTGGTTCGCTGACCATAACGAGTGACCGAACCGAGTATACGATAATTCGTCGCTTTCGTTTTCTTCTGAACTCGTCGGTATGATATCACCGGATAGAAATTATTAAGAAGCAATAAACTCATCATTTGTTTCGCCTGGGTTATATTTAAATATACTTGAAAACTGAGAAAATGTTGCAATTTGGAACAAAAAATTCTCGACGTACACGTGGCACGTCGTTCCAGCGCAAGTGGTTAAACGTTTGCCAAACTAATTTGCCAATTAGTCACATCCTGTAACTTTCACGGTCCTACATCCACGATGCTCACAATCGGAGAAACAAAGAACCAAACGAAACTGATAATCGTTAAACGCTTAATCATAGATGTTCCATCGTGCTGCGCGATCCGTCAACGACGATTCAATCGCGAACAACGCGCAGAACGTATAATATCAACGAGGGATATGGATGACTCGGTGACGTTCGCGCGCCGCCTTGAAAAAGGAAAATGAAATTAACGCAAGCGAGACGGGCGCGAATGTAACAATTAATCGGGGACGTTCCTCTCGTGTTAGAGAGAGAAAGAGATAGAGAGAGAGATAGAGAGAGAGAGAGAGAGAGTATTTCATATAAAACAGCAGCCACTTAACAAAGTGACTTGGCGAGTACTTACAGTGGCCTATATTGTACAATATCTGTCGTCGTGCCTGTTCGGCTCGTGCTTCCTGGTCCATCATGTTGTTCAGCATTTCCAGCTTCCTCTGCAGATCGGCCGCCTCCGTGTTCTCGGGGTCTTTCGAAAAGATAGACATCGGTGGGGAAATGGTTAATCGCGGGTGTTTCGACTGTCTCTACTGTCTCTAATCTGCATCGATTAATTTTTTCAGTACTACAGGTACTGAAAAATCTCAGAGGAGTTGTGTGGGTGAGTGAGTGGTCGGTGGGTGGAAGGGGGCGGTGGGGAGAGGAGAGGGGGGAGGGGGAGGGGGAAACGAGGAGAGAGGCGCTGGCCTCCTCGATTCGTTATCCCCTGATTGTCTATACTATTCACGGGGTGCGGTATATGCTGTGTTCTCTAACGAGCTTTACAACAGGCATGAACGAACCAAGTACACTCGTCTCTTCGATAACACGTCGCGTCGCGTGTCGTCGCGTCGTCTTGCAAGGAAGCTCGTGGTTACGCGCTTTACTTTCTGCATTACACGCTCCTATCGGGCAGCGTATACGTTGCTTGAGATTTGAGCCGAAGAAGGTTCTCGAACTCGTATTAATCATCGTCCAACGATTCGACAAACCATCGAGGTTCAGTTGGTAATTAAATTGGTAGAGGGCGTTTCGTGCTTCGCCGCAGCAAAATTTTAAGAGCAGCAAGAAACTGACGTCGTACGAAGTTTCTTCGTGATCTGCCCACAGAGTTATGGGTAGTGAATATTGAACGTGAATGCGCGCGTAACGACGAATTCGAGGTTTGATAATGTATAACTGACGTGAGGATCACTCGTATTTACTTTGCCCGCACCTGCTAGCAGGTAGAGATCGTTGAAAACTTTTAAAAAGTTACGTTCAACATTTGCCTTTAACTCTGTGAAAACGGGTTGTACGAACAATACTTCATACGACATTTGTCTTCTTGTTTTCGCTCGTAGATTACGCCACCTACACCGCGTGAAACACCCTGTGAAACATACTATAAAAGGTTCGACACGTTGTGAAAAGTACGGTTCGCGATCATCGTTCGTCGTCGGTGTAATTTATCCTGGACCATAATTATATGCTACAGAGGCGTTCTAAGCCGCGTGAATTGACCTGCGGTCTTGCTCGCTTCAGCGGTTTATTAATATCGCAGCTGAATGAAGTATGGCTGACATCGTCCTTTAGAGATTTCCCTCATAAATACGCGCGCATCGGCTGGATTCTACGTAGCCTACGACGACTTTCACAGGCTTAACAACGATTTATTACGCAACCGGCTGAGTGACTCGCGTCGGAACCCTATGGCTGACTAGCGCGCTCGAGAAACAGCCAGCACCAGAGACGTATCTACTACCTACGCAACCATGTTACGACCGGTGTGCATCGAGTTACGGCCTCGATTCTCCTCCATCTCCTCCTCCTCCTCCTCCTCCTCCTCCTCCTTCTTCTCCTCTCGCCTTACCCGCGTGTACGTCGCTGAAACTTCCCAGCTCCTGCCATTTCTGACTCGATACGCTCACCCTCGGGACGAAAGCAAAATTTACAACTTAAACCCCTAAATGAAAACTACGCGCGTGTATACTAGAGATCAGAAGTTTAAAACCACCCCACTTCTGCCTGCCGGTTCTTCGCTGAACTGGAAACGAATTGCTATGCGGAAGTTCGATAGTTGGGTGGTGTACAGCGTTTCACGAAACGTGGACGCGATCCCAGGAATGAATTTAATCTGTTAACCAACTTGCTAAACTTCGCAACTGTAATAACTTTCTTTTTACCTGGGCAGTCATTTCGTCATTGCCCCCTTATATTCACTCGTAGGCACTGAAATTTCTTTTTTTTAAATTTTTGATATTAATTCGTTCCTTTGGAAATCTCTCGTCCCTTCTGTTTCTCTATTTTTCTATTCTTTCTGTTGAAGGGAAGAATAACCTTTCCCTGAAGATTATTAGATTCGATGAGAGTTTCGTGGGAAATTCGAAAATATTTGAATGGACCTCGCGCACGTTAAGAAAGTAAAAAGAATTAACACGCCCGGTGGATTTATATGGATAGAATCTTTTTAGACGTTTTGTAATAAAGTAACAAATGGGCCATTCCCCTGTAAAAAGCTACAAATATTTTACGCATCGTAAATCTTTTATTAAGTCCTCCCTTTTTCATTTACGTACTAAATTCACCCCTGAGACTGCACTCACGCTTTATGAAACGGTTTAATCGTAATCACCTTACTCTTTCGCTCTCGTTAAATACCAACTTGTTCCGCGTGCTTCTGTCTCCGTTTGAATATTCCTCTCGCCTCCATTGTTGTTCAATTTCACCAACAACTTTACCGACTACTTAAAGTCTAACGTTAAAGCGGCTATTCTACGTTCGACGACGATAAATGTCGTTGTTTACTGCGCACCAAAAACGCAATAGCGAAATACGCGAAACTACGACTGTACAGTTGTGCGTTGCTTCGTTTGCCAAGCTATTAAATAAAATTGATATTTCGTTCTTTCGAAGTTCGTCGTTCAATTGCGGAGATACGCGATAATGGGACGTCAAATGCTCAGCGCAGCGGGTCAAATATATAAAAATAATAATACGTACGTACTTCTACCTTCTCCTTTCCGTGTTACCTTCCAGGTTGAATCGTGA